GGCGCTTTTCTTCTCCTCCTTTTCAATGAAATCTAGCTATGAATAATCTATGTGCTTCTTGATATCTAGGTATCAACTCTTTCAAGTTCTTCATGGCATACAAGGGGGCCCTAATGATCAATGACGAGCTTCTATTAGAAGGATTAAAGCGATGCAAGTCTCTTGGTGCCTTGGCTATGGTCCACGCTGAAAATGGAGATGCTGTGTTTGAAGGACAAAAAAGAATAATTGAGCTTGGTATTACTGGTCCTGAAGGGCATGGCCTTTCAAGGCCCGCTGTGGTAATTTCAAAATCCATTCTTTTTTGTTTATTTAGTTAACTCATTTTGATGTGGCCAGGGCTTTATAGTGTTCTGTATTATTCTAATCTTTTTTTTTATGAATTTCTTCTTTCCATTAACTTGTGTTGTCTTAATAAATTTTTCTATATACATATATCTTTGACTGGATATCCAAACAATAAATTACCTTATAGTTTAATGTCCATGCAGCTAGAAGGAGAAGCAACTGCTCGAGCAATTCGTTTGGCAAGTTTTGTGAACACACCTCTTTATGTCGTTCATGTCATGAGCATCGATGCAATGGAAGAAATAGCTAAAGCTCGAAAGTCAGGTACTCAAGTTTTTAAATCCTCTAATATTTTAGATTCTCTTCCTTTCTGGCAATCCTCATAATAGCATCATTTTAGTTGCATGCTAGGTGCAATTAACATTATAAACTAGATTTATAATGATTCCTTCATCTAAAATATCGAATATTGTAAACATTTTGCACCTTCACCCACCAAGGTAAGTGGGAGGATCTACCTACTGCTTTAAGCAATATTAATTCAAATGTGCAATTATGCGTGAAAAGTACCATGAACATCAAAGACCTTTAACTTAAATTAAAAAAAAAAAAAAAACCCCTATTTTCTTTTGATAAAATTTTGAAAGTCTCTTTGTTTTTTCTTTTCCTCATCTTCTTCCTTCTTCTTCTTCTTCTTCTTTCTTTTTTAATGCGGCAGGTCAGAAAGTTATTGGAGAGCCTATAGTTTCTGGATTAGTCCTTGATGATTCTGGTGTTTGGGATACTGACTTTGTCACTGCTGCAAAGTAAGAATATTCTGTAAAACCTTTACATTCAATTGCATTTCGCCAAATTTTCTAAAGTTATCTGAAGCATGTTGTCATCCTCAAATTTCAGGTTTGTTATGAGTCCCCCTATTAGAGAATCGGGACATGACAAGGCCTTGCAAGCAGCCATTTCAACAGGAATTTTGCAGGTTTTTGTTTTGCCACTGAAATATATTGTACAAACAAAAGAACTAGAACTTATGGATAGCAAAGAACTGCATGATCTCCAAGATAAAGATTTCAGATTGACATTTGAACATAAGTTTTGCTAAGGATACTATAGCTTGCAATGAGATCTCAAATGTGTTTATTAGACTAAGCATTCTAATGATTCTTCCTTCAGATGATAGTTTATACAATTTTTGTTTCTAACTTCAAGCTAGAAGAAAAGGCTTTATGTAACATTCAGAAAGTATTTAGTCTTTAAGAGACATAAGAACTGCTAATTTTAATGGTTAAAGACATTTTTCTGATGATGTTTTTAACTACTTGTATTTTGCAGCTTGTAGGAACAGATCATTGCGTCTTTAATTCTACACAAAAAGCCCTTGGTATTGATGATTTCCGGAAAATCCCAAATGGCGTCAATGGTAATGTAGAATGGTCCCTGGTATTTATGAAGTTGCTTAATTGTATCAGTGCAATTCCAACCATTTTAAACTCTAATATTTCTGGTAGTTCTGGATTGTAGGAATTGAGGAGAGGATGCACCTGGTTTGGGATACAATGGTGGTAAGGTTCCAATTATACAAGTCAAACAAGAATCACTATTTTGAAAAATTTTGGTTTCTTTAATCTTTAAGTATTTTTCCAGGAATCTGGCCAGATTACCGTCACGGATTATGTCCGGATAACAAGTACTGAATGGTATGATTCCACTGGGACATCTTAGATTAGTTAGTAGAAGTAGATGGCCTTCTGTATGTTACAAAGAGAACCTGTGCTGTTTTTACTAATACATATAAGTGTTCCAGTGCTAGGATCTTCAATGTATACCCAAGGAAAGGAGCAATACTTACTGGATCTGATGCTGATATAATCATTCTCAATCCCAACTCAAGCTTTGAAATAAGCGCAAAGTCCCACCACTCTAGAACAGATACAAATGTCTATGAGGGTAGGAGAGGAAAGGTAACTTTAATACATCTAATTCAATCTTTAGAACTTCATTCAGAGTCATGCCCACCTACTATGTAACACTTGTTTGTTTCCTCCTGTGCGTTCTTAACCCTGTAATGCAACAGGTTTGAAAAGATTGTGAAATATCTTTGCAGGGAAAAGTTGAAGTGACAATTGCTGGGGGAAGAATTGTCTGGCAAAATGATGAGCTGAAGGTAGAACCTGGCTCTGGAAGGTATATAGAAATGCCTCCCTACAGCTACCTTTTCAATGGAATTGACAAGGCAGATGCTAAATACATATCCTCCCTTCGCGCTCCAGTAAAGCGCTTTAAATCCTCGAGTTAAATTGCAGGTAGCAACATTTTAACCTTTTCTGTTACTGAATTAAAGTAAAACCTTAAATATCTCTAGTTTGCCTTTAATTATGAACAAAGAAAGTTAATGAGACTGTAAACAGTGTAAGAAATGTATGTTTGATGCTGCTCTGGATTACACAATATATAAATTGTTATGGTATTGCACATAATCTAGTTCCATCTATAGGAATGGATGTTTCACAAGGAAAATGATACAATGTAAATTTAAAAAGATTGTAGGTTTGTCCGTATGGGAGAACATGGGTCATCTATTATAGATGTACAACCCAGATGTCTAATTCTGTTGATAGGTTAAAATGATTGGAAATCTTGAGTCTAGTGGTGTCAAGGATCAAGGCCTGATACAGCAATTAATGTAGTTCAAGATCTTCCTCTTTCTCTTCATGACACAGAAAATTTAGGAGGATTAGAAATAGGTATGTTAACCTGTTATTGCATGTTTATCTATTTCTTCAAATATAATCAACTAACAGAGATAGGAACTAACCATAATAGAATCGTCTTCTTGAGGAGGTAACGTAGTAGCAACCAACTCCTCTTCATTTCCAATGCTGCGACGTGCGTCGCTCTTTTGTTGCTTCCTCTTAGCTCGAGCTTGTGAAAAAACCTTTGAATAATTAGTAGCTCCCTGGGATATACGATCCCACCCTCCAAATTGAGGGACAGACATCCAAGTAGCATTCTGTCAATAAAGAACACCAAGTTAGTCAATATGCTAGTTTAGAAGCTCAAAATATGTCTTCTGCTGATCTGCATTTCCTGATTTGAATAGACATATTTTAATAGGGACAACTCTGCAACTTTCTAAGTTATTATAAATTCAAGATGAATAGGATTAGGATAAACATCATTCAATTGAACATTATTGACAAAACACCTTTGGTTCTTGGTGATGGGAGGAAATTATGAGTGGAAAATGAGTAAGGTTAAGATTAATTACTTCCTTCCCATTGTCCATGGCGACCACTTTTTGCACAGGGTGGGTACTGGGAATAAGGGAACTAGAGATTATCTTCCAGTAATTCAGCCCCCTATTATATCGATATAATTTGTTTCTCAACAGTTTACATTAAAAAAAAAAAAAAAAACAGAAGCTAACTTACTAAAATTTAATAACTATTTTCTGTTTGAAACTACTAACGAGAGAAGATACATTATATTGGTTACTTATGGTTAATATGGTTCGTAGTATAATTAGATTGGGGTAGTTAGAAACTTAAGAAAGAAATTTTCAGTTGCTAATTTTTATCAAAATTGTTTACATGCATTAATATATTTTCAATAATACTTTTTTTTTAATAAAAAATTTTGAATAATACTTGTTAGGCTGGAAAAGGAAAAGTGAGGTCCTTTTCTACCTAAATAACAGTATTCATAAATTTTATAAATATAAATATTATAAAACTAAACTAACGAAAATAAATATTAAATATTTTGCTTTTCCTCATCATAGATCAAACAGACTTGTTTAGATTGAGGAAAGAGGGGAGAAGAAAAGAATTTTTTTTAATTAATTAAATTATAATAATTTTAAAAAATATTATAATTTAATTAATTGAAAACTTTTTCTTCCTTTCTATTCTCCTTATTAACCGAGTATACCATAAATTCATTGGCATGCTAAACTGCTACCCGATCGATTGATTCATTTTTCTCGGTTTCTTTGGGCTGTCACCTTTGGCCCAACAGAAAAACGAATCCACAAAAGCCAGTTGATTTTTGGGCTGGACTTGTTCTTGAGCCGGAATCTGCTATTTGATTTAATTCAATCATTTTCTGGTTTTACTTTTTAGGGCTGAGTTATCAAGTCCAATAAGAAAAAGGGGCCGCCTAAGTAACTTCATTATTGACCTGGCCTTGGGGAAGCTGATTGACTGGGCCTGCCTCCACTAGCGGACCCATTACGCCGCAGCTTTCCAGACTAATATAACAGTTTTCTAGGCACTCCCCTTTTTCCCTCCGCCTATTTGGCTCTCTCTCTGCAACCAAATCGAAGAGCTTTCAGCCTCGCACGATGACCACCATCAACCTCCGCAAGGGTAACACTCGCCTTCCGCCGGAAGTGAATCGCGTCCTGTACGTCCGCAACCTCCCTTTCAACATCTCCAGCGAGGAGATGTACGACATTTTCGGTAAATACGGCGCGATTCGTCAGATACGCATCGGAACGAGCAAAGAAACCCGCGGCACCGCCTTCGTTGTATACGAGGACATATACGACGCCAAAACGGCCGTGGATCATCTCTCCGGCTTCAACGTGGCGAATAGGTATTTGATTGTGCTGTATTACCAGCAGACCAAGATGAGCAAGAAATTTGACCTGAAGAAGAAGGAGGAAGAGATCGCTAAGATGCAGGAGAAGTACGGAGTTTCTACTAAAGATAAGTAGATAGATTACTGTTCTGTGAATGATACTCTATAAACAGTTTAATTGTATGATTCAATGTGATAACTTCTTCTTCTGATTTATGAGTTGTGTTATATTGATGGATGTTGTGTTTGGTTATTGATAGATTACTTCTAGTTTTCTGATTTTCCTTACTCTTAGAAAATTTTTTTTTTCCTTTTTATTTGTTATAACTTGAAGTCTGGATTGATTCTGTTTTATTTTGGATCAAGTTTTAAATCAATTCCAATTAGATATGAAGAAACTCCTTAATATGCTGCTAGCTAGGTTTAAGTTAATAGGAGTTTGTATTGGTGATTGATACTGTTTGATACAACAATTCATGGATAATGTTCCTGTTTTGAAACTCAGAATATCTCTGTTGTATTTGTTCTCACTTCTTACTTCTCATTATTTGAAACATCCTCAGTACCCTGTTGGTAGTCCTGTTCTGCTTCTTCTCAGTTTAGTTATGAGAGCTAGAAACCCCATTACACCATTAGAAATAATATTTCTGCCTTCTCTTGTGCACTCCCTGTCTCATTTGTCATAACATTCTCCTTGAGTCCCTTAATGCTTGTAGTCTTTCTCTTTCTCTTTCTTCTTCTTCAATTGAGGCTGCTATTCTGATAGAAGCACCCTCTACATGTGGTTTCTCATGAGTTGAGAAAATCGGCATCTTTATTTTTAGCCTTTGTTATTTGGGTGTGGTGCACATTATGCCTCTAGCATTACATTCTTGAGTTGAGAGAGAGTCAGAAATTCTTTAACTTTATTATTTGGAGTAGGAATGCTGAAACAGATGTGGAAGTAGCTTCTGTGATCAACAAGATTGAGTTTTATTTTTTTGGATAAAATGTAAAATATATTCCATTCAATACTGTAATACAATGCAAAGCAGCAAGTTATGCTGCTACAAGGACAATCGATTCCAAAATGAAACCAGAGTTACAAATCAACTCTTCACTACTATCTCAAACCCCCATTGCTCAGCAATAATTCTAGGAAGAGTAGATGCTCTTGGTTTAGCAAAACCCAGCACTTTACCACCGTACAGACTTCAAACCGGATATCAGATATGATCATATTTGTGGACTTGAAAATTTTTGGCGATTTCTTATGTTCCTTTCTAACCAAATGTGATAGACAGAAGCATTCGAAGAGAGCTTGATCAAAGTATTATGTAATGACTTCCTTCCAATGCGTTTGCCCATCCAATAAAGTAAATTGTGCCAAGAGTCCATGGGAGGGATGCCTGTCATGCTGCTAATATTTTGTCATATTGGCTTCGTAAAACTGCACTTGAAGAACAGGTGTTCACTTGTTTCTGGTTCAGCATTACACAGTGTGCTTGTGTTAACAATGCTTGGTGTCCATTGCTTTTGTCTGGCCTTGGTAGATAGCCTGTTTAGGATTGCTAGCCAGCTTATGAAGCTGTGCTTTGGTATTGCTTGTGAAAACCAAACTAGTTTATACCATGGTGTTCTTCCCTTTTTGTCTCTCAACCAGGGCCATGTTTTTCCAGTTTTAAAAGAGCCAGATGGAGAGGGCAACCATATAACCAAGTCCTGTTCACCCTCCCTAGGATACAAATCAAAAAGCTTTATTTGGATTTCCAGTAGCCGAAGCGAATGAGCTGGGGGCCAGCACCCAAAACTGCCATTTATTATCTCAGATAATTTTGCTTGAGTTTTGATTGCTCATGGGTATGTGAACCTTTTAGGTTTCAGAGGAAAATGTTTTATTTATTTATTATTATTATTATTGCAGTCCTGGTTTATTAAGTAACCCAAGCTGGTCTCACAAATAAATTTTGGTTAGTGATTTTGTACCAATGAAGAATCATGTAATGTAAGCTTTGCTTGTGCGTGTAGGGTGGTTTAATTCGGGCATTGATGGTTTAATGCTTTGACAGGAAGAATATTATCAAGAAACAAGAGGAATGCGGGTTGAGTTAATCTATTCTTGTTGATTTTAATGGTTTGAAGGGGATTTTAGATTGTGTTCCAATAATTTCTCGGCTTTCATCTGGTTTTTCTCTGCGCAATTCTTTGTCTTTTTCTTTTTTGGTTCTTTTCCTTTTCCTTTTTGGCCTCTATGCAGTTTGAGGATTGTTAGTTTGTGAAGTTTTTTTTTTTTTTTTTAACTATAATAAACATAATTAATAAATTAATATTTGTTCGGGTATCAATGAAGAATCAATTTGATAATTATATATCATGTTTTACTTTATTTTTCATACGAAAAAATATGATCATTGTACCATGTGACGGTGTGCTTGGTTTGTGAAGTTTTTTTTTTTTTTTTTGAATATAAAAGAATACAGAAAAGTTTTAATCTAGCATGCATGTAATGTAAATATTAAGTCATGTAGTGTTATATTGCA